AACTTTGGAGGTGCGTTTGAGGCAGGCTTGCAATTTCAAATTTTTCAAGTGGAAACGTAGTTGCCAACACTATACATCTTTACAGAATTTGAATCAATGTGAATTCATGTAAAATATCAGTTCTACAAAAGAGCACTAAGTAAATCTACTTTGGAAACGTTCTGAGTAGCGAGCAAAGCACTAGTCTACACGTGCATAGTACTCTCACAATCAAATACAGATTTGCACAATAAAATACATCAGCCAGTTATCTTATTCTCCTGCTATTTTTCCTGGTTTGCCAAGAACGTTTCCACAACTGATATAACAACATCACTTACTAAGAGGCTTCCATAGATTAACATTTTTGACATTAGGGACTTCCCACCCCATCTTGTTCATTCTTCATGAAACAGATCTGGACTTCCACAGAAGATCACAGGATATGCGTGTTCCTAGCGTTACAAACAAATGAGAAGTTAGTCTTACACCATGATCTGACTTGAGAGATCTCTCCTCTTTCTAGGAAAGCAAGGGGTACGCTCCCTAAGGAGAGACTCTACTGCCTACCTTAGAGAAGATTATGACTAGTATGCCTTATTAGTCTTTAGAGCAAATCCACGTAACAGTGAGGCAGCCTGTGAAAGTAGGAACGAGAAAAGTAGACAATTTCCAAAAGACAATTTTAGCTGGAAGGGGAGAAACATCAGTCATGGAGGAGAATTCACAGTCATTGCATCTGATCTGGCTCCCTGTTAGATTTCAGACTAGGACCAAACACAAAAAATGACATATCAGAGTCACTGGAGAAACAAAGAGACTCATCAGTATCAGAAAAAATATTCCTCAGCATTTACCTGCATTTCCCAACCATGCCATAGAGTTTGCACGTGTGCTTACGCAGTGGAGACCATTTTCGTTTTAGATGAGATGGTAGGACTTCGCTTCCCTCTGAGATTCTAGGGCTAAGGTTTTAGGGATGCCGTGATTGGGAAACAGTTTAAAAACCAAAACAAAACAAAGCAAATTCCACTTCTCATGCCATCTACGTTGCTTGGGTCAATTTTTTTACCTTTCCCCCCTCCATTTTTTCCCCCTCTTTCTTAAATAGGTGTGATTTACTCAAAATCGCTGTTTCTGTTCCTTCTGAGAATGAAGTGCATAGACTGCCGATCTTCAAATCCTATTCCAAACCCAAAATATTTTTCAGTTTACTAGTCAAGTCAGGCCTACAAAACACTTTTTAGTTTAAAATCCTCTTGAAAGCCTTTGCTGTCACATGTAGAATCGCTGGTTCTGTGACATGAGACAAGAAGAGATATTGTCTTAAATCTGTTCTGAAACAGATAAGCCTCAAAAGAGTATGGCGCTCTTTCTGTTAGTGTCAGTTAGGACTAGGTTGGTTTCCAGAGTAAGAGGAGAAAACCAACAATCATCCTTTGGAGGGAATTTCTTGGGCTGTCTAAATAGGCCATGAGGACCTGTTTTGTTAGCAGAGACATTGCCTTCTCTGGTATCTCAGCAGACACAGCCAGCTGTTATTTACGGACTTTTTTTTAGTTACTACTTCGGTATTTAAAGTCCTTTTAGTTAGAGTGGGCATTAGCTGCCCAACAGAAAACAAACACAGAGCAGTTACTCTCTTGTGGATGAGCTCAAAAACCAATAAGCCCAGCGCAGAGCAAGCTCTGACACCACATCGCTGCGCTGTTAAGTGCACGCACAGAGACAGGCTGGGTTCTAGCACGGTTCATTAGCCCCAGACTCGTCAGCAGACGTGTACTGACCACAGCTGGATTGGTCAGACATGTGTTGTCACAACACTTAAAAGTTCCGACTATAAGTCTGCAGATTGGGGAATGACTGCAGAGAGCCAGCTCAGCTCCAAGCATCACCTAAAAAGCACAAGGAGATGAGTCCCCTGAATGGATCTGCCAGAGGCAGCTGTGACTAAGCAGGCTTCAATGTCCAAACTACCTCAGTTTTTTCCATTACCTAAAATATCCCCAAATTCCGTTACCCCAATAACGGGGAGCTGATTACAAGTTCCCTCTGAAGGGAAACACCAAATCCAGTAGTTATAGCTGATCAAGAGCAGTATAGCCATTCCTCATCTACCTGAAAAGTTGAGTGCCAACGCAGGCTTAGATGAAAACATAGTTGGGACCGAACATATTCCGACATTGCTGTGAAGTATCTGCTGCCTTGGCAAGTTTCTGGTCTTTCTCATCCTGTGCACTGGATGTATCTCCATATGCAGGTATACGTACAATGTCTTTTTGGAAACCGTAAAAGGCCTCTCAGGGAATACACTGGTCTGCTGCTCTCACGGGCAATCTACTCGCTGTGCCCAAGTCTGTACAGAAAGGCCAACGCGCCCTTATGTCCTGTTTGCAGAGTTCAAGAACTGGTGGGGAAATTGCTAAGCACTCCCAAGCACTCTCTGTGCTTTAACCCATCGTACCAGAGCTGCCCAGGCATCTCTCTCTAATGAATCACAGCTAGCTTTCACACTGGATGTGCAGCAGATACCTTGATATTCAGAAAGACAGGCAGTAGCTCACCAGCCCGGGTTGCCAACGTGCCATGGTTTACTGCTGTAGCAGCAGGGCTGAAATGAAAAACAACGCAACTACTTCATGGCAGCGATGGAAACTTCCCTGGCATTCTTCCTCCGCCAGCCCACCTCAACGGGCCTGCTCAAGGCTTCGTTCTCCTTCGGTAGGGAGGATGCTTCACCACTGACCGCTTACCGTCTAAATCAGAGAAGATGGTGTGACCCATTATAATTTTAAGAAACAGTTGCATGTTATGCCATTAAAAATGGAGAGTTTTCTCACTGAGCAATAGCCTTCAGCACTCCTCTGTTGTTCTGGAAAAAACAGTCTTGGCCTCTGCCTTAAGACTTTGATTTATCATTAGGCCAGAAATTACTGCCTTGAGTAACTACAGAATGATATTAAAGACTGAAAAGATAAGAGAGGTACAGCCACTTACAGGCACTTGCTTCTCTTGTATGAGAACAGAGGAGAAAAATTGAGAGATGTGAGCTCAAAACCCAGCAAGCCTGTGGGGCTCACCTGGCAGAAAGGTGCTTACATCAAAAGCCTCGAGAGGTTAAAGCATTACTGTATTCCCTCTTTATATCCACATTTCTCAGCGAGCCAAAACAAGGAGAGCTTGCTGTATTTATGCAATCGGGACACGCAGTAGGAAAAACTCCTTACAGCTCAGGGAAATGTAAATGCGAAAGCTGAGCAGCAGCTGAGCAGAAATGCCAAGTTCTGAGCAGAAACCTTCGTTCAGATGGATCAAACAGCGAACAGGACACCGCACGCGCGTGGAGGAGTTGAACACCATGGAAAAGCAGAGTACTCCAAACAGAAATATCCTCTGCAACACAAGAGACACAGACGAATACAACGGCAGATACGTAAGCACAGCACAGCGGTGCTCTCCAACCCACTTACCTTGGCATCATATTCAGCGCTTCATTTTCCCTGCCCGTTGTCGCTTGTTACTGTGCATCGCTAATTCTTCCCTTTGCTCTCTGCTGAGATCTAGCCATCTTCTGCAAAAGTTCAGCCAGCAAACAACAACAACCACCCTCTTTTCCATTAGAATGTCAGATGCTGGGAAAAACAGGGTAAGAAATGATACAACATCAATGCTAACAATAAAAATCTTCCTTTTAGCACAACTTTCAAAGAATAGCACAGCTTAGGGATTTCAACCCACAGCAGCGTCTGCAACACTTGGGTGCTGCGGGTTTTTCAGCCTCGTCATGTGCACCATGGCGGTAACGGGGTTCTGCCCGAGCGATCCCCTCCCCGTACGTTAACTTCAAGGGGTTACAAACGTGAAGTTGTTTTGTCCCCTTTCCCTTCTGCGAATCAGTTGACAGTTACAGTCGCTGGGCTTGTCCAAAACCAAGAGGGGACACTTCTAGGAAGCCGCTAGCAGGGGCTGATAATGCAACAGGTTCACGAAGGTGGAGTTTCGGAGTCTGTTTTGCAGTTAGAGAGACTTAGGGCCATGAACCAAGCATGAGGAGAAAAAGACCATCCTTTTGTAGGGTGAGAGGAAACTGGAGAAGTTGCTCAGCTTGCTGGGACTTAATATAAATATAGATCTAATAAAACAGGTACAAGTCTGAAAAACTCTTGAGAGTAACAGGCCAGACCTACTGCTTCAGCTGATGCTGGGACAAGATTCATGAAGCTACGTGACCTAAAGGTTCGGAAGATCACAAATCCTGCGCCATCGACCAACTAAACGTTTTGGGTAAAGACGTTCCTCACATCTGGAAGGCTGAAATCAAAAAAGGAGAAGAGACTCCTCAATCCTAAAGCAATAACCATCACCAGGTGCCGATTCCAATCACAAAAAAAGGCTTGGGGGGTTGCTACTACTGCAAGAGGAACGGACCATCCACTCGTCCCGCTCGGTGGAAAGCAGGTAACCACGGCAGAGCAAACACACGCAGGAAGCAATAGAGCTAATCTGAAAATACGACTAGATCTACAGCATCTTACACTTAAAATCTACACACTAGAATTGGAGCACGGAAAAAATAAATGCATTATAACAGGATAAAATGCCCAAAGCATTCAAAAAACTATGGCTATGGACACAGCACATTCCACACGTTAAAAAAAAACACCCAAATTAAAAAAATCTTAGTATCACATCTGGACAACATCCAATGCATTCCTTACTTAATCCGACTGTTTTGGATTTTGAAGAAAGAGAACAGACTTCACGAACAAGAACCCAGGTGAAGAAAGGGCCATTATCATTCCCAAAAAGAAGTGCTAACATGAACATCCAAACGTAGCATCCAACTCTCCTTCCGTAGAAATATCTGTAACTCCTCACGGACTCAATAAAAATGTAACCTTTTAACTCTGGCCTTAAAACTGCACAAAACTTAGATGCCCGAGACAAATTTTTTCCCTTTCTGCATTTAATACAGTAACAAGAAACTGCAAGCCTTGAAGACAAACGCACACCACTATTACCCGTCCACTGCGGACGCTGATCTCCAAACGGTCTCCAAACCACACGAACGAGCTACTCCACGTTAACTGCAACTCTACCAAAAGGGGCAACATCACAACTTCATACACTCACCGCTCCTGCCTCTCTTGCCCACGCTCACCGACGCATGGCAGCGCTGCACGGAGGGGCCGCGTTTACAAGAGCGGTGCCTGCGCTGCAGAAGACCCCTGGTACGCTCTCCGAAACGTGCCAGGTGGCTAACAAGGATGGATCTTGGAAATATGCTTCTAGTAATTGCACATTCTTAGCTTTTCTTAAGAACACAAAACACACGGGTCCCAAATTGTTTACAAATTTAATGTCTTACAAATCTGGACTTCTCAGTACAATGAACTTAAGGTTTCTTTTAAAAAATTATCAAAATTTCAGCATAATAGTTCTTCTAATACATCTCTAGTTTTTTGAAGAATATTTACAGGACTGTAATGAAAAATAAGACTTAAGCACATGAAAATTTAAGCAGAGAATAGCTTACAATTAAACTGGCAGTAAAGCAATATGGCTTCCTGACTGCTGTACTGATCAACAGAAAGACGGGGATAAATACTGTTACAGAGAGATTCATTTTTATGTTTGCCGTTTTGCACAAGCACCCCATGGTTTAAGAACCACTGCACACAGACACATCTATTAAAACAGGTATCTAAGCTGTATCTGTAAACAGCTAAGAAATATATTTTGATAATATCATAATTCAGCGATTGCTTTACAAAATCTGAGCTTACAATCTGAGTGCAAATCAATTCACATTAAAAACCTGCAATTTCAATTACTGAATTGATTTAAAAACTGGTTCCGTGACTGTTAAGACTGTTTTCTTGTTCTTGCACTTGTTCTTGTGCTTGATCTTGTCTTCCTGTCCGTTCCTCCAGCAGTCCGAGTAACCCTTACGTCCTCTTCACCAAGTTCTTCTTTAGCTTTGTTTATTCTTCCTTTTTGTAGCGATCGGTTTTCATCATTCTCTATTTGTACACAAAAAGTTAACTGTAAATTTATACCATAAATCAAACATTTTCTACCAAATTCAATCTTCAGTTACATTGTTTTTAAAGGAAACATCCCTAATGACTACATTCCAAAGATTACATCTATGAATTCAACAAACCAGCTGCAAACCCCATACTTCTGCACATCCAATATCCTTTAAGGTAGATCCCTGAGGACTTACAGCTATTTCTGAAAGTAGGTTAACATTAATGAGAGCACCAAAACCAATTAGCTGCCATTTTAGCTAAAATTCCTTCTACCGATACGTAAAACTAAAACATATCCAACACCGAAGAAAAATCCTGCAAAAATGAATATACAGTAACTGTTTTATGGTCCAGATAAAGCTGGAAAGTCAGGCTTTTAACTGTAAAGAAAAGACTAGACACCCATGTAAGTATCCAGATTACACAGAAAAGTTAAGCTGCTCCAAGAGATAAGCATCAACCCAAGCACCAGACATAGAAACCATCACTAAAATCCATGCAGGGAAAGATGACCTCCATGGAAGAGAAAATCCAGGCAGGTAGTAAAGCACCAGAAGAGATCGACCATTTGGCAAGTACGTGTAACAGTATCAGGAGGCAGGAACTAGCAAGTGTGTAAAGGGAAACAAAAGAAAACTCAATAAACAAAGACAGATACCTGGCAAAATAGATGTGCATGTTATATGAGGATAAGCACATGCACCAGAAAGGGGAAAGAGCCTAAGAGAAATGAAACAAAGGCATGGTCAAATCACAGTAAGGTTTTTAACACAATTTGGTAGGAAATTCCTCCATATGTAGCTTTAAAGATTCATTGTTATTTCCATTCACATACATTTGTTTCATAATATTTTCTAATTGCATCACGGTAGTTTTTAAGTTACATTGCATCAAGCTGAAAATTGCAGGGAATATTTTAGATGCCTGCAGCAAGAGTTCTGGTGGCTTGGGGAAAGCAAAACAGTAAAGGAGGAAATGGGACACGCATGGAACTTTTGCTGTCTTTTTAGCTCAAATAGAGCTTCAAGCCCTTCTAGCATCAACTTCAAAAACACAGCTGATGACTAGTAAAGGTCCTCCAAAACCTAGAGATATAAAAGCAGGTGCTTAGATGGTACTTAGGAGAAAACGAGATGAACAATGAGTACTACGAACACATTATCATCATGTTCTATCATTACCACCTTCTTCTGCATGTAAGTTAGTTGCTGTACTCTAAACTACAATTTGTTGTTATGGATTGAGAGAGAATGTACTATAGAAGAGCACAAAGACATTTGAACACCCCAAACAGGGGAAGAATGCATGTCATATCCCATAAACCCGATCCCTTCTACTTAGAAAAAACATCTTGTTATATATATAGATAGATAGATAGATATATTTATGTAAGATAACATAGACCATATTTACTTAAGTCTTCTTGCTATATTGAAGACCTACTCTCTATCTACATTAGAGCATGGCAGCCCACAGTAATACTAGAATTTTGTACACATTATTGTTATATCTATAAATAACTTAGCTATACTTCGAAAATAGAAAGTAAATTCTTGCCTCACCTGATTTTAATTTTTTGGATGCTAAGTCATCTGCTGGCAACTGACATTTTCTTCTGCGAGAAGTGGAAGTTGCCTGTTGTACAGGGTTAACCTCTTTTCCTTTTCCAGATTTATTATTTTTTTCAGAACCAGCGGATGTCAAACACACATTTTGAGTTTCCGAAGTTTTACCATTTTCTGGCAAGTCGCCGTTTTTACAGCTAGAAGTAGCTGCCTCTGATGTGAATTCTACCTTTTTCCTTTTATTCCTCAATTGCCTTGTTTTTTCCTGAGATGAATTATTTTCTAGAGATGTATCTTCACCTTCTTTAAGAATCCTCTTTTGACGTCTATCTTTGGGCAAGCCAGGTTCTTCCTTGATTAAAGTGGAACTAGTTGCTTCAGATTTGGAAGAAATTGTTTTCTTTCTGCCCACTCTTGATGGATTTTCTTTTGCAGATGGAGCTACCTCCAAAAGTATACTCTGTTGTTCTTCAGGAGTTTTGTTCTTACTGTCTTCTGGCAAACCTTGAAGTGAGGTGGAACTAACAGCCAGTGAAGTGACTGTTTGCCTCGAGTTCCCTTTTGAAAGATCCATTTCTCCTTGGGAAGTAGAATTTTCCAAAATCAGCTTTTTTGCTTCCCCATAATTATTCTTTCTACCACTTTCTTTCGATAAACCCTGTTTTCCCTGAAGAGAAGTAGACCTTGTGGCTTCTAACAAGGGGGCAATTCCTTTCCTTCTGCCTTTTCTCACTTGATTTTCCTTTACAGGTGAATCAAAAGTTTCTAATGGAACACTTTGATCTTCTTTAGGAGCTTCTTCTCTACCATTATCTGCTGGCAAACCGCGTCTTCCTCTAAGAGAAATGTAATTAGTCGTGCGTGATGCCGGAGCCGTTTCTTTCCTTCTGCCCCTTCCTAATGGCTTCTCTTTTACACAGGACACTGTTTCCAAAGGCATATTTTGTTCTTCATTAGTACTCTCCTCTTTATCATCAGTTTCTGACAAGCCACGTTTTCTCCAGAGAGAAGATGAACTTTTTGCCTCTGCTGCTAGATCAATCTTTTTCCTTTTGTCCCTTGCTGATGCATTTGCTTTTGCCTGCAAAGTTTTATTTCCCAAAGCTGGATTTTGATCTTCTTTCACAGTCATCTTTTTATCATCACCTTCTAGCAACCCACGTCTTTTTCTGATAGAAATAGATCGGGATGCCTGTGATGCTGCAGCAACCTCTCGTCTTTTCCCTCGTCTCAGTGGATTGTCTTCTGTTGAAGAGGGAGTAGCTTCCAAAGCTGAATCTTGCTCCTTTACAAAAGCTTCATCTTTACTATGATCTGCAATTAATGTTTGTTTTTCCATAAAGGTAGAACAAGCTATTTGTGGCATGCAATCAGCTTGCTTTCTTCTGCTCCTCCTTACTTGTGAAGAAGGATTTTCTGAAGTCTCACGTTGACCATCTTCGTAAGTCATTCCTTTGCCATCCTCAGGTAAACTCCTTTTTCCTCCAACCACTTTGGAACTGGCTTCTTCAAGTTCAAAATTAACTTGTCTACCTCTGCCTCTTCTACGTGCAGTTCCATTGTCTTGTGCTCGATTCTTTTGCAGGATTTCAGTTTGCTTTGGTTTAAATATTCCCTGTTCATTTCTTGTCCACTTTTGACGGCTATGAGCAAGACTGTCACTGTTTGCAGCAGGTACTGATGCGCCAGCTGGGTTGTTCTGGTCCTCCGTGACTTGGCATGTATTCTTGACACAAAGAGAGCTCAAAGAATTTTTGAGAGAAGATTCGTCCATTTCTGTTTCTGACTTAAATTTGGGAGTAATTAGTTCTAGGTTGGTTACATCTTTGGCAAGTTCATCAGTCTTTTTCTCCAAAGAGTCATTTTTGCCTCTCCTGTTTCTAGTTCTGTTTGTTTCTCGTACTGCGCTTCTGTTTGCTTCCAAGTTCAGAGCAGTAACCGGTATTTTGTTTGCCTCTCCAGAAAGTGACTCTGCTTTTAATCTTTGAGATGCCTCTGTTGTATTTTCCTGAGCATTTTCTGTTTCATCTCCCTGAAATTCTTTAATCTCATTTTTTGTGTGTGATTGTGTTTCAGTATCAGTTTCAGCTGAAGTTTCCTCGGTTTTCTGAATGTTTTGTATATTTTCACGTGCGATCCCACCAATGTCTGCTTTTATTTCAGCTGAGTGCTTTCTAGCACTTCTTAAAGACTTAATTCCTTTCTCTGTTGTCTTTATTTCAAGTTTAGTTCCATTTTCAGACTCTTCTGCTGTGGCAGTCTCTGTGTCTTTGCCAGAAGTCTGTTCATCTCTTTGTATCATCTTTGCTGATGAGTCTTTGCGAAGCTTCCTTGTTGTCCCATGAAGGTCCTCTGAAGAAGCTTGCGTAACTCGGTCATTTCTAGCTCTTCTTCCTCTTTTAGGTGGAATCAGTGGTTCTGTGTTTTCTACTTTTTTTACTCCTCTAGACCTCTTCCCAGGTGACAGAAGCATTTCTTCACTGTCTTCTACACCACCTTCATTAGATTTGTTTTCAGGTTTTTTTAAACCTGTTTGCAGTTGACAATTTTCATTTTGCATGCTACTAGATACACTTACTCTCTTTATGGTTGGAACATCTTCGGTTTCTAAGATGTCATTGATGCCATACTCCTGCAAAGTCTGTTTCATATTTGCAAGTTCTTTTCGTAGCACTGAAGGATCTCTGCCACAGGACTCAAGATTCTCACTTGGGTGTTTTAACTCCTTCGGTTCTTTCCTTTTACCTCTTCCTGGTCTTGGAGTAGCTGCACGTGGTTCCACAAACGAAACAGTTTCAACTTTTTCCTGATCAGGGTGCTCTGAAACGATTTCTTCTTGCATGCAACGCTTTGTTCTCCTTCCTCTTCCTTCATTTTTAGCTACTGAAGATGAAGTACTGATCTCTCCCATCTCCTCTTGGGCGCTCTTTTTTCCCAGACCTTGCAATTCTTTTAAATTCAAATCCTTTTCACACTGCTTTGCAGAAGCAGGATGTACTGTCTTCTGCGATCTGCCCCTTGCTGGTCTCTGGGTGGACTGGTCTTCACTAGTTGATTCCTTCTGTTGAGAATCTTCATCTTGTGAAATACTTCCTTTGTCTTCTAAAACAGGTTTTTTTCCCCCCATTCAAAGTTTTTACATAGAAGAGAACACAAACAAAAGTTACACATTACTATGCCTGATCAAAGTATCTGGGAGTTTTGATTTTCCTAACAGAGTCATCTTGCTCAAACAAATCACACTTAATATTCTTATTTTTTTAAATAACTAAATATTTTAACCAACTCCTAGATTAAAGGCCAGGCTTCTGACCAAAGATGTCTGGTTTATTTGGTAGGGAGCATTCATAGGTTTAAACTACCTTTTTGAAAGTCTTTGCAAAGAAAGATAATTTTAAGTGGAAACCTTAACATCAGGTTTTTTACACTGGTACGTTTGGAGATGCCAACATGACCACACCAACAAATTACTACACCGTTACTTCTAACACCAATAGAATTCCAGCACCTGGTGTTCTTTAGGGATGACTGCACAAATTCCATGAGCTATGCATGCTTCGCACTGTATATTTTTGAATTTTTAAAACATATGCTAAAACTTCATAATAACATATATTACCTTGTGTATTCATTATTCCTCCAGCTAAAGCAAAAGTATTTGTACTTACCATATTTATGACTGGAATTAGCACAAAGAGGTGCAGTATCTTCCTGCTTAGAACCCATAACATTTACTGATCTGACCTAAGGGAATAAACAATAACCAGTAAATGCTTGTCTGACAGGACAAGAAATAATGGAGCCAACCAATACAAATTTAATGTAAAGTAATAGTTGAAAAAAGTCTTGTCAAATACTTTTCTCTGAAAATGAAATCAACTTAGTTTTGTAACCGCATCCATATATCTGATATTAGCACACAAATATATCAAACTTAATACTTGCCATCTGAGCTAGCGTAGCATTTTTAAAGTGAAAGATAACAAACACTGCATAAAGTTAAAAAAGTATTAATTAAATTGTCTGAAAAGTGTTTACATGAGTGCTCAAAAGGAATTTGGGGTATTGAAACTGAATCATTTGAGTATTTTGTGGTGTTTTATTGTAGTTCTACACTGATGAGCACTAAGCCCAGTGATACTCGATATTTTATCTATGGATCCAGGAATGAACATAAAAATCAATACTAATAAAATTCACAAATGACAAGAGTGATGAAGCTGTGAATTATAAGGTCAGAATGGTAAGCCAGACCTACCTCAGTAACTACTTAGACTGGGTTCCTTCAAAGATAATACATATTAACACAGGCAAATGTACAGTGACAAAGCTATCTCCATAAAATAGGCATCCATTCAGGAAGCAATGAAGGAAAGACTTAGGGGCACAGTGAGCAATCAGCTGATGACATGGTAACCCGTTTTGTCAAATGCTCAACACTTTTGGATGTGCAAAGAAAAAGTGAACTTAAAGTTTAATCTATAGGGTATGAAGCAGCTGTAGAAAACAAAAAACCCAACCATATGCCTTGCTTATGAAAAGGAAGGCTGAGAAAGAATTTGATTAGTTTGTAAGCAATTTAAAGGGTGCTTTAAACATAACAGGAACAAATGACCAGAAAAAAAAAGTGCTCAGATTCAAATTTGTAATAAGCTATGTCTTCTAGTAGGGGGGGCATTCACCTGGACAAAGCTACCAAGGACAAAAGATTGCCATCTTTACAGTTTTCAAATCAACATGAGGTGCTTTTCTAGAAGGTATCTTTTCCTCCACAGGTTATGGGCAGGACATATTTCAAGTCCTGTAACATACACAATATCATACCAGGAGGCCTAAGAATTCATTTCAACCACAGGCTTCAAAATCTAAATACATCCCTTTCAAAAGCTAAAGAAAGTATTTTACCTTAATTTCCTCCGGTATATCAAACATTTCCGTAACTCCAACATAGTCCACTTCAGAATCAGAACATTTCTGCCTGGGTTCTGCCATAAGCCTTTGCAGACCCACAAAATCATCAACTGGTTGATACTTCTCTCTCGGAGTCTTCACTAGTCTACTAATACCAAACGCATCATCAACTGGTTGATACTTCTCTCTCGGAGTCTTCACTAGTCTACTAACACCAAACGTATCTTCTATGGGTTCAACTTTTTCCTTTGGTGTCTTGAAAATACGGCTGACTCCAATCATGTCTTCTACTGGCTGATATTTCAGCTTTGGAGCTTTCTTGATTAAAGTGACACCTGCCACATCTTTTACTGCTTCCCCTTTTTGCACTGGTGTCTTCCGCGATCTTTCAATCTTTTTCTGCTTGATGCCTGACATGACCTCAGCTGGCTCCAACTTCTGCTTTGGAGTCCTCCTTTTACTTCCCGATTCCACCCGAGATGCTTGTTTTTCTGGAATTCTTGACAAACTATCCACACTAATATTTTCTTCCAGCACAGTTTTTCTTTTTTCAGGAGTTTTTGTGGATATTGCATCAAACATAGACTTTAGAGATTCCTTCTCTCTCAGTAAGTGACAAATTCCTGGACTATCTTGTTTCTGTTCTGAAGCAGCTGAACTATTTAACGGTGACACCATCATCTCTCCTGAAAGAAGTAGATTTATGTGATTTGGAAAAAGAATTACGCAGAAAGTCCAAGCATTCTAATTGTTGTATAACTAAGTAAAATGGATTCAAACAGCCGGAGCCTTCTACAAACCAAAACCCCAAAATGTGCATCAACAACTGACATCAGCACCTCCTCCACTGCCCCTCTTGAGGAAGGTGCAGGCTGCGATGAGGTCCCTCCCTCAGCCTTCTCTTCTCCAAGCTGAACAAGACAAGTGACTTCAGACGCTCCTCATAAATCTTGCCCTCAAGACCTATTAGACACTCTAATAATTTGATGTCCTTCTTACACTGAGGTGCTCAAAACTGCACACAGGACTTGAGGTGGGGCCACACCAGTGCAGTGTAGAGGGGGACAATCACCTCCCTCGACCGGCTCGCTGTACTGTGCTTGATGCACCTGAGGACACAGTTGGCCCCTTTGGCTGCCAGGGGACACTGCTGACTCACATTCAATTTGCCATCAACCCAAACCCCCAGATCTCTTTCCACGGGGCTGCTCTCCAGCCTCTTGTCCTGCAATTTGTATGTATAACCAGGATAACCCCATCCCAGGTGGAGAATCCAGCACTTGCTCTTGTCAAATTCTGTATGTTTGGCAATTGCCCAGCTCTCTACTCTATCCAGATCTCTCTGTAAAGCTTCTCTACCCTCAAAGGAGTCCACAGCTCCTTCTAGTTTAGTATCATCGGCAAACTTACTTAATGTACATTCAATTCCTGTGTCCAGATCACTTATAAAAACATCAAAGAGCACTGGCCCTAAAACTGAGCCCTCAGGGACCCCACTGGTGACTGGCTGCCAGCCTGATGTAACCCCATTTACTGTAACTCTTTGAGCCTGACCCAGCAGCCAGCTGCTCACCCAACGGACTATGGACTTGTCTAGCTGTGCGCTGGACATTTTATCCAGAAGGATGCTGTGAGAGACAGTATCAAAACCTTTGCTAAAATCCAAAAACCACCACCTCTACTGGCTTCTCCTGGTCACCTACATGGATGACCTTATCATAAAAGGAAAGGAAGTTGGTTAAGCAGGACATTCCCCTCATCAACCTGTGCTGGCTACGACCCATGACTGTGTTGTCTCTTAAGTGTTTTTCAGTAACTCCCAGAATAACCTTCTCCATCATTTTACCAGGCACTGAAGCGAGACTGACAGGCCTGTAATTACCAGGGTCTTCCTTCTTTCCCATCTTGAAAATTGGGACATTTGCCAGCTTCCAGACGACTGTGACCTCTCCAGACCCCCAGGACCATCAAAAAATAATGGAGAGAGGTCCGGCAATAACATCAGCCAGCTACACTCAGTTTGTATGCAGCCTGTACTTGGAAAGACACTTTTCACAAATATTCATTATGGTCCCTGCAGAGGCACTGACTTTTGGAGTTCTTGGATTCTTTTGTGTCCTGCTCATTATGCATAGCAGAAAAGGATAATCAAGAGGAAAGCTTGGGAAAAAGTGAAGCGACTTTCTCTGGCTGTTTAGTGCCAGCTCTTTATTTTCCTTCACTATTTCCTAGCGCGTTAAGCATGAGCATTAGAACAAGCATAACCATGCTGTTTCTCAATAGAAATAGCCATCATTCCTCCCACTAGTAAAAAAGAACTGAAACAAAGAAAAGGTAATGGACAAAAGTCTGGTCAGAACAACTCATAGAAGATTTTAGAGGAAGTTATATTTTCTTCCTGAAGCACAATTTAGATCAAACATATAATGCCAGAAATGCTATTGCTGGAATAATAAATTCAAACCCAAGCCCTGAATATTGAAAGGCTAGCCTTGCTTTGGTCCCTGGAAAAATAGTGGAGCAGGTCCTCTTGAAACATGCTTCTGGGCACAGGAAGAACAGGGTGATTTGGAACAGTCAGCATCAATTTATCCGAGAAAAATCATACCTGACCAATCCAATTACCTTCTACAATAAAAAAAAACAACCAAAAGAAAACCCAAACAGATTTGTGGATGAAAAGAGAGCAGTAGCTATTATATAATGTGACTTTAACAAGGTTTTCAACACCGTCTCCCACAATATTTTGGTATCCAAAAAGAACATCACAGGCAAGATGAACGGGCAACTGGTTGAATAAAGAACTGGTTGGATGATCAGACTCAGGGAGTTGCAGTTAACGAGTCTCTACCTGCAGGCCAGTACCAAGTAAGAGTTCTGCAGGCTGGAGGAACAAGATAACTCTAGGAGTCCCTTATACTTAACTGCAGCTATAATCTCAATCTTAAAACTCTCTCTGTTCATTTTAAAAGCAGAACCCTCATCTTCAAACTCGAAATAAAGTACATACATCTACTGGTGTCAGTTTTTAACCAAGGCTTGTAGGATCTAGCAATAACTTGCCTTTGTAGTTCCTATCCTGTCAAGTCCTAATCATAAAACGTTCAAGTCCTTCCAAATTCCTGGTCCAGCATGATTAAGAAATAAACTAGTTTTTTCAATACATGTTCCCTAAATTACAAAACTAAAGCATTCGTGCCATACAAAAGGATCGATGTGTATAGAATCTGAGATTAAGGGCTTGCTTGCCCACCGATTTAAGGAAAGCACTAAATAACAGGATAAAAGATCACTCTACTAGTTCTTCTTTTCAAAGAAAACACTTGTTACTGGACTCCTTCCTGAAGTTACTAACAAGGTTTGTTATACCTAAGCCTACCTTCCACAACATCTGAAATAAAGCAAAATGCATTTCAACTATTGTTTTAAATACTGGAGGATTTATTCTTGATTTTTCTTGGTGTTTCAGTAGATGCTCAGTTTTGCTAAATTCTCAAGAAAACAGACTTTTAATTTCAAGAATTCTGAGTTATACAGGGACACAATGACTGGTATGCAAGGTTACTAGCAAAAGATGCACAACAAAGTAGTGTCTTAATACAAATCTTTCTAACCTGACACTTTTTTTAAAAAAATTTAAATAGACTTTTTCTGCAAGATTACACAATAACCTCTCCCTGCCATGAAACTGGATTTAGATGTATCCACAGACAACTGATTAAGAAAACGCCATGCTTCAGCAGAAGATTTGCCTGAAACAATACTTCAACATTTTGAAATTTCATACCAAATAGAATGAATAAGAAAATAACACCTACTCAAAAATTAACTGGAACTACAAAAATGTCTTTTAATACACGATAAAAATCAATGGTTCCTTTTATGGGTTGCCAGATGCTTCATCTCAATACATCAAGTCTGCCCAGGCTGAGACTACCCACTGTCTCAAGTAGCAGACCCACCACTACCCCTAAATATACCTAAACATTTTCTTTCTTTCCAAATAACAAACATACCAGATTCTTCAGGAGTGTGCAATTCAGAAATTTCCACTGCGGTACATGTTGGCGTAAAATCAGTCTTCTCAACAGTGGCCAAAGGTAATGCTTTTCCACTCTTATTTTCTGGAGTTTGAAACATTTCAGTCATTCCTATAAATTATATTCAGAGAAATGAGCATATGTTTTGACAAAAGTAGTACAGAGTTGGCAGAGTGAACAACAGATTTTAAAAACTTACCTGTGAAGCTTTCGTCCATGTTCATGTTTAGCTTCAAGATAGGATTTTTTACCACTTTAGGGACCTGTCCAGCCGTTCTGACTGTGGTGGAATAAGCTCTACCTACCACTATTGTAGCAGGTGACTCTGCATGACCTGTACTAAAATGACCTTTTATTTTTCTTTCTGGAGTCTGCAGAAGGGAAAGAAAGGGAGGGGGGGGAAGTTACTAAACAAAGATTCCTTTTGTATAAAATCTATATTTCTTACACGCTGTGGCAAAGACATCAACATCCATTTAACATCATACTAAAAATAAGCTTCCATCTTCTGTAGGAAAATACCTAACAAGTTGTTTTGTGGTTATGCAAAAACAAATAGAAGAAACATGGAAAAAAAGGAAAAGAATACCTTTGGTAATTGGGTTTTCTTCTTTAGGGATCTTCCTTTTTGGACACTTTTTTTAACAGTTTTTGACTGTGGTCTTGCAACACCTAATTTTACCACTTCTGCCCAAGATTTTGCAACTAGGAAGCAAAAGAGAAATAACCACTTTCATTCTCAGGTGTAATAAATGCAAGTTCACAATTATTTCTTTATGATTCCAATGGATTTGCTGCAGTCGGGCATAGGAAAGTGGTGGTTGCATCATCTGACACCACCTCTACCAAAGCGCTCTGTGAAACGCTTTCAACTGGAAGATCTAATTTCAGCTGAAGTTTAATAAAGTCTCCACGTACCCAGGATGGCCATTTCCACAAAACAGCAGCAACAACAAAATCTTCATACAGCGGCAAATAGATGTTAGATCCTAGAACGGAACACTGACCCAATTCCATCCTCACTTTTTGTAAGGAAATACTTTTTTCCAATAGAAACTTGCCACGAGCCTTTCAATCTCATTCACTATTATACCTGAACTTTTCCCTGGTGGGACTTGAGATTTAACATCAGACAAACGGCTTCTAAGTGAAACATATCCAGCTTTTCTTTCACCACCTTCCCAAGAAAAGTCAGGAAATTGTTTATTTATACTGCTTACTGCATTTAGATCTACACGCACTTGCCATAATTTTTCTTCTATCACCTTCTCCTTATAACATACTCTGAACATTCCCAAAGCAAGGTTACCTTTATCACAGCATCATTCTGTACACAGCAGAGGAATCAGGGAATTAGTGCAGCTGTGTAATAAATGAAGCTGTCAGTTGGTAGGACATCTGCCTCATTTACTTCACAAATAAGCTATGAGAAGACAGGGATCATATAAAAGAAATTATTATTTTTTTAAGTAGAGATAAAAAGGGGGATGCTGTTCCTGAAGGATGATATTATTTTTTTCTCAGAATTGCCATGTAAGTTGGCAAAAGTCTGTAAATAAAAAGAACTTTCAAAAGCTGTCATTGCCGGGATGTTCAGGATACGTAGAAAAATGCCAAGCATGCAGGAAATTATCTGAAAAAGCACTGGAAACACAAAGACATTTGTTTTGGATACAAATTAGACATCCAAAATTTTTAAGAACTGTGATGTTCTTTTCATATTGCAGAAAAAACTGATGCACTCACATTAAAAACCACTTACACATTACAGAGAGGTGGTGAAAAATGGTATGTCATTAATGTTTGTGAAGTACTCTGGTGCTATTAAAATAAATGGAACAACAAAAGGCACTGAAAAAAGAACCCAGCTTACTTTGCTAAAAGACTAATACCACTTTCAGCTGTATAAGCAGGAAGTATTGTGAAGGCCTGTGATTTTATCTCATCGCCTAATAATAACGATGATGAGAACATCATTGGGACATTGTATACAGTACGTTGTTCAAAATTTTAAAATGACACTACAAAAAAATGGAGACATAAAGAGAAATAAAAATTCCTTGGCGAATAGGGGTGTTGGTAGGAAACTTTAAATTTGACTTTGAAAGAGTCAAATCGATTTAACATCTGTTTACAAAAACAGATGACAAAGACACCTTATCTGTAAGTTTCTTCAAAGACTAAAATGTCAAGAACCAGAGCTCCCCTATCATGTTTCCAGTGCTCTCAAAACTATTTCAAACCAGTGTTCAACAGTCAAATTCAAATGTTCAACTTCAAAATATTCAAATTAACACCTAGTTATCATCCTATTTTTTAATTATATCTGTTATATACCACTGTCAACAGTTAAATGCAGTCCAGTCCATGGACAAAGATTTTGAACTGCGTACAAAAAAAGCATAAAGACAACAAACTGAAGCTAGATTGCTATGAAGTGCACATTTTCAAATCAAAATTGATGTAATTGACATAATTTGATTTAGTTCACTACTACTTGAATCTGAAGGATCACTATTGCAACTAACCTTGCAAAGAGAACCTTAATTCTACCATTTGTCAACTTCTGAACATTAAGATTTATGTTCTGAACACAATTTTATATATGCTTTAGTAATTTGCTTTATGAATACAAGACAATGTAATGCTTTGCAATTCCCAGTTGTTTCCAACAAGTCCAACAACCGTCAGAAGATACGCCAATCATTTGGTGGCCTCTGCATAACGAAACAATAGGCCTACTTCAGTTTTGTTCCTGTATTTTAAGGCATTAAAATTAATATTAAAAATGAACTGCTGAAACAAACCTAGTAAATTGGCACTAGAGGCACCGCTTCTTCTTTTTGCATTGATAGCTGCTACGGCCCCACTTCTTCTCTTCATGGGAGTGACCTTCAAAGCAAGTTGTGCACTTCTGGCTGATTTGTCAGGCGTAGCTGTTAAAAGGGTTTTACAATCTCGGTTAACGTGAGGAGATTTAGGTGTTTTCACTCGGGCACCATTTTTCTGCTTTGTATTTATGTCTTCTGCAACAGTATCCTTCTCTTCTGCGATTGGCAACGATGTCGTGATGAGAGAAACAGAGAAACGTCCTTTTGTGTAAGGTGCTGGAGAGCCTAAAGTAAATTTAGGTGCTGCCTTCCCAGAGGCAGGGGATGAGGCAGCTGGGGACTTCTGAGTCGGCAAGTTTTTTGGTGACATTTTTTCCTTCTGCAAATGTTCAGAAAGTTCCTGGTAGAAAAAAAATACATAAAGATAAAATGTTACTGCGCGTAGCTGAACTACAAACGCTCATCTCCATCTCTGACAAGTAAATACAATAGTATAAAATATCACCAGATCGTTTGAAAAACCCTTAAATGTTATTCCCTGAAAACAAACTTGTAACAAGTTTTAAATTTCAAAAGTCTCAAAAGACACATGCAAATTCAATTGAATAAATTAACTGAGTTATTCTACTTTATTCAAAAGTTTTGTTCACATCAAGTACACTACACACATTTTAACTAGTTTAAACCAACAGCAAGTGTTTTCAAACTTCTAGCCAAACCAGGTGGCAGTAGCTTGCACAGTCTGCCAACAAACTACTGTTTTCTGTTATTTATGGTAAACTGGAGCTTGTAGACACTGCTGCTAAGCACAAACATACAGAAAAATACTCCCGCACATGCATGAGAACGAGCAATAGTGTGTGAGGTGAATAAAAACACACCTCCTGTATAAAGACAGGTAGATATAAAGGGTAAAGCTGAGCCCTTTCCTACAATGGAGAAGTTAAAAAATGCCAATTAATATTTGCTAATTTCAAATACCATCTTAACTTGCAATTAAAATTTCTACTTCCCAACATACACCTAACAAGGTTTACTACTAATTTTTAATTAAGTTTCAGAAGTCTTAGAATTTATAAATTCTGTTCCCATCAATTGTCTCAGCAACTTGATTAGTTGTAACATTTACCTGGACTGCAAAGTGCTTCAGTCCCTGAGCCTTTTTCAGAACCGCACGTGGTGAGTTTCCAAATGGTAAGCTCAGCCTCGCAGGAATCGCACCTCTTTTAAGGGGCGAGTTGGGAGGCAAACTTTTATCAAAAAGTTCTGGACTTAGATGACCACCAAAAGACACTCTCTTTCTTTTTCGTAAAGGCTGAAGTAACAAATCACCACTTTTCTTCTTCTGAGATATCCTTTTTGTCTTGCCTAAAAATAACAATTGAAAATATTTTCATATATCTAAAAATCCAAGTCAACATTTTAACCAGCATAGAAAACAGTGCTTACACATGCATTTTAAAGTTGGAAATATATCAGAAGGTCACTTAACTTAAAGAGAAATAGATACAATTGAGTAAACTTTTATACATATTATTGTGTGGTTTTACGGTCAAATATGACTACATGATAAATATTTTAGAACTAATATGTCAGGAATAAGCTCCGCGTTTTATGTAAGTGGAAGAATTCTCATAAAAACGCTACGAGAATTGCTCAAATACAAAAACGAGACAGGGGATTAAACACACTTACCTGATTCTTCTCCAGCCAACAGGCCAGAAATATGCATTTCTGACACAGCCTCATCGTCTTTCAGTACAGCAGCACTTCCAGAAGACCTTCTCTTCAATGACAATCTGCGAGGTCTTGTAACACTGGCACCTTCCAACTCTTGTTTCTGATGATCCCCCTCCGTGGCCAGCTCTTCGTTAGTCCCACTGTCTTTTCTGTCTCTAGTCTTACCGTGATGCTCTTGAACGGCATTTGTCTCCAATGCATTTTCAGTTAGCAGTCCAGAGGTCCTTGGCCTACCCCTTTTCCTTCCAGAGTCAGATTTCTGACCAGCAGGAGATGCCAGATCTGACGTCAACTCTTCTGAAGCCAGCGTCTCTGAAAGGACACTTTTATTTGATAATTCTGTACTTTGCCTGTTATTTCTTCTGGGACTCTTGGAATTAGAAAGAGAGGCAGGAGTTTCCGAGTGTCCCTCTTTTGAGTTCACAAAGTTTGCCTGATCACCAATTTCTTTCAGCACTTCTTCTTTTACCGGTTTTCCTGGTGTATGTTGCTTACTATTTCGTCTTTGCTTTAAGCATTCATTTTCTGCCAAAGACAGTTGTTTGGGGCTACCGTTTCTGCACGCTGAATCTTCCCTTTGAGTTTCAGCTGAAACTTCTGAAAGAGACTTACATTTCAATGACACACGTCGTCGAGTTGTTGGAGTATCAGTATTTACAGGATTCATCCCGCTAGTTTCTTTGGTAGGCGATACGAACTGAGAGCGGGGACTCTTCCTTCTGGGCGTTGGTGTACACAGAACATATTTATCTACTTCAGAAACGTTTGTCGTGTTAGTTGTTTGCGCCAGTTTATCTACTGCTATTGCAGAGCTGTATATTTTCGTTTCATCTGCATAATCCAAGCATTCTATAGAGCACGGCTTCAGTGAAAACGCTGCATTTCCATCATTCTCCTTACTGGGTTTGGTTGTAACTTCAGTACCTTTAGATCCGCCTGCTGTACCTAGTTCCTTATGATCCTGCAAGTGACTTCTTTTACCAGTATCTCTTGACATCTCCTTTGAAACAGAAGTTCGAGGACTTTTGGTAGAGCTCCTCTTGGTAGCACTTCCTACAGCTGAGATCGGGTTACATTCCGAACTGATTACTTCTTGCTTTATTTTTATTTTACATTCTTCAATATCTTCACTTCTGCCTATTTCTTTTTCTTTAGTCAGGCTTCCCAGATCATAAACACAACTCGATGATGAAATTCGAGCACTTGGTTCTAGCAGAACGCTCTTACCATCTTCTTTTGCAGCTTGTTGAGATACATTTCCCTCTTGCAGAGGTTTTTTCACTTTAATCTCACATTTCAGCGTTTCATAGAGTTTACTAAAGGGAGACATTTCATTTTGCTTTTTATTAGATAGATGTATTCTGTGCGAAGATTTGGGTGTTTGTAGTTTGATGGGGAAAGGTTTGGAAATATTTTTCTCTGTACTTTGTTTATTTTTATTGTCATTTTTTTCTTCACACTCAGCATTATCTACAAAGTAAGCAAAACAAAGCAAAGCAAAAAGTAATACAGATGCAGAGTTACTTAAAAATTGCAGAACTACAAATATGAGTTCCATACAGATAAAAATTCCTTCCTTTCCACTCCCAAGACAGTCAACCAGGGTCCAGGATACAGTACTATAAATAAAGCTCTGTTAACAATAACAATTTATCTTGTAATAGAAGAATTAGTATCTCAATGTTTAACGGAAACTTTAAGTTATAATCTGGAACTTATATTCAGGTAAGGCACTTGGTATTTCACGCTTTTGTTTTTGTCGGAATCAATGGCTCATATACATCTTTCAGGGCTGCCACAAGACAAATCTATGAGCACAGAATTAAGCCACCATTTAGATCGGCTTACCACAACTCAGTCTGGTTTTTGTCCTGCGTTTACACAGGTGCTGTACTGCTTGAACCGTGGCAATGCTTCTCTAGGGTAAGGCCAGGCAATAAAGCAGAGCTGCCACTTCCCAGATGAGACACAGCAAGTGACCGCCCGCGTGCTGCCACTCCGCTGCAATCTGGAACTGCATCCAAGGCAGCCTGAGGCCGCGTGCTTCACTTCGTGTTTCCATGAGCAAGGGGAATATGTGAGCTAACAGAGTTCATCCGGTAAGAGGCGCCTTTTTAAGGCAAAAAGCTGAGACCTCGTGTGCATCCATACATCTACAAGCTCTATTTCTCAACACTGCTTTATGTCAGTATGAACGCCTGCCGAAACAAGTGCTCATACATGTTGACTTTTCTTAATTGTGATGGGAAATAACCCATGTAAAGATGAAGGCAGAGACTCTGACATACAAGGAAAAGCCTGTCAATTATCTTCTGGGAAAGGGGAAAAGAGAAACATGGGAAAGAACAGGAAATTAGATCTTTCCATGAAAGCTTTTACCCAACTGCAGACAAGTACATCAGTATTTTTTTTACTGAGCTGACAAGTTGTTCCCTTAAAGTTGATAGAACAATGAAGCAAAGACTGTTGCGCCATAGGACAGTGTGGGGGAACCCATCACCCAAATCCTGTGAATACAGATGCGCTCACAACAACCCACTGGAATGCAACACTTTGAAACGGCCTGGGTTTTTTGCACTGGAACAAACATTTGTCACGAAAATCAAACCTGTCTGTAGATAAACAGCCTCCATCTAAGAAACCTTGTATCTTCCCATGAAAGTAGCACTACTTAAGACAAGAAGGATGGGAAGGTGAAGTCCTGGCATTTAACCAGTCCATGGCCTATAACTACCCAGACTTAGTAGCTCTAGAAGATTTTTACTGGATCTACATGAAACAGGTATTGTAAACTATTATTTCAATCAGGAAAATTAACCCTTCCTCTATATCTCCAAAATTATACCTGTTTCAGTTTCTTATTAGGAAAGAATACATGACATAATGCAATATTTGCTCAAAAGGGATCTAGCTGTATTCTAGGTCAGCAGAGAACTGCAAGTTAAATTTTAATCACAAAGGTGAACTTGCCACGTTATACTCGTTCGATGCCACTGAAAAGTGAAACGTAATAGGTACTTGTTTCACGTATCAGTTTCCACTGCCGTTTGTATTGCATTTGCAAAGCTGGTGTACTGAGCTCTCTTCTTCGCTGTAATCTTCATAAACTGAATTTGCACAAATCACTTAAAGCCATATATACGGGTTGTGCCAATTCCAGGCTAACTGCTACTGCCCATTTGTCAGAATGCAATTAAACTGATGTCTCCTGGCAGGACTTAGCTTTGGTAAATCACAGCATCTAAGTATGGTGAGATAGTACACTGACGTAGCAAGGTGTATTGGACTCAGATTGAAAAGTCTTAAAATACCTTTCTTTTGCTCTTTTCAACCTTGTTTTTCCCTTTATGCTAAGAATAAATGCAGTTAAGGGGGAAGAAGAAAACAAACCCCCTGTAAAACAAGTACCAACCTGAAGCATGAAGACTTTTAGATCCTGAAGTTTGCTTGCGTAATAATTCCACTTCTGCCACCTGCTGAAATATTACAGCAGAGCAACAAATATTTTACAGTTTAGCTTTCAACTGTACATTGGAAAACACTAGATTTAGAAAAATACATGCATTGTTTACTAAACAGGCTTAAAAGTATGCAAATGAAATCCTAGAATGTTTCAAACTTTAAGAACATCAACTAATGCACATTTGAGGCCCTACACTGTAAGAGTTTAAGTCTTGTTTTATCATTGAAATCATTAGTTCTAAAAGCAGCTGTAACATAAGAATATATGCAAGCACATTTGAATCTCACCTTCTCACCAGACCTAGTGGAAGGTTTTTATTTAAATAAGAGAACTGTAACATTAAAAAAAAAAAAAATCTTTCAATAGGTACAGTACTCACAAATAACACTATCCCTTTTAAGGGAGAAAACTTTGCTGAGAACAAAAAAAGAAACTGATGAAAATAAATTATTAAAAGATAGGCTTAGTTTGATATTTATAAATTCCAGCAATACATTAGTGTACTAGCATGTAGAATAGATTCTCTTGGGGAAAAAAAAAAAAAAAAAAGAATGCTTATTCTCTAGGGCAAACTTCCCCATTTAAAGCACAAGGATAATCAACGCCCATACTCTGCATTTCCTGCATCCCATCCTCTCTTCAAAAAGGCTAAGGATTAATTTTTAATAGCTTATCTGTATTAGTAACATCACAGATTATTAAGTATCTATTACCAGAAACTGACAAGTCTAAAATTAATAAATTATTAATTTTTAAAAAAAGTATTTATCTGAAGTTTAGTTGTATTTTCAAACAGAAAGGTAGTCTATGGCTGAAAAATTATTCCTAATAAGAAAAGAGAACAAGGAAATGGAATACCGTATCACTACTAACACCAATGTACTTGTAATAAATAAGTCTATGGCCACAAAATTACCTGCAGCGTTTCATCTTTTGGAGATCTAGAACGCCTCTTTCTTGGAGTTGCTTGGAGAGGATATTCAAACCTGGAAGAAATATTTAAAAAGACAACTGTTTTTTGTCAAATAGCTGACGACTAAATTCCCATTATTAAGATACATGACCTAGCAATCGTTGTCCACTCCCAACAATAGACACACATCACTTTTAAAGGCTTTAACTACATCAAAATACTTCTAAATTTTCCCCCAAAAATGGCTACCCTTGAAACAAAATCAAAATGATCTCTCTAGACAACTCTATCTTTATTAGTTTAGCTTAACGTAATACAAAAGCAATTTTAAAAAAAAATCTTTAAGGAATCTTGCCTTCTGAAGAAGGTCTATAAGACATTGTAAAGAAATATGAGATAAACTAGACTTTAAGCTAATCCGTAGGATGGTAACTGATGAAGATTTAAGTTTTTCCCATTTATCTACAGCCATTTCTGTATCTTCATCCAGCAGTAAGAGCCCGTGTCCACAAAGCTCTCTGCATTGTTTGCCTGCAGAGCACATTCCAGGATCGAGGCATTAACAGTTTGTCACTGGCACTTACCTGAAAGAACGATCAATAATAGTTAACACATCTCCATGCTTCAGAGGTACAGGTTGCTGAAAACAACCACCATTCAGCTGCGTAGGATTTACTGTACTTAAATTAGTCAATATTGCCTAAAAATAAAACAAACATTTCAGCAGCCTGATGAGATGCAACGGTGCAATGCATATGCCACTAAAATATGTATATCTTACCTCCTTGTTTTCATTTACTTCAATTTTACAATGTTCTTTTGAGACCTGAGGCAATTGGATGCGAATATCACATTCTGTTCTCCTGTGGGTGAAAATACAATCTGAGTTTTAAGACACACAGAAGACGGAAAAATCTGACTGCTATAGAATTAGGTGATTTCCCAACTTTCCAGCTAATAATTGTACTGCGGCATGATACTGTCTTTAATTTGGTAACATGAAGAAAACGAACTACCTATGTCTTTCAGCTGTGGCAAAAAAACCCAGGAGCTCACACAAGACTTGCAGAATATTTTTAGAAAATACCAGCATGTGCTCTTAAGCTCACTCTTAGGCATTCGTGACTGATCACTCTCAGAGACAGAATATTAGGTAGACAGACCCTTGGTCTCACCTAGATAGCCACTTCTACCTTCTTCAAAGTTGTTAGTAAGTGAAAGCTGTGTTTCTAAGTGTACAGACTTTTTAATTCTTTTTTTTTTTTTTTTTTTTTTTTTAAGCTAATCTCTAATGCTTTTGTCATGCTGTAGGTCTTAGGCAGCAAACATAGCTCTCATATCAGGGGTACTGTTCAGAGAAGTACCTGACACCTCTCACTGATGTAGCGGGCAGAAATTAACGTTTGTACCATTAAGTATCACCTGCCTGGGCAGCTCTGCTGAAGCCACAGAACAGCATTAGTGACACTGGAGTGCCTCCCATAGACTTTCACTATGGAATCTGATTTCAGACTGAATAATTAGTTAAGACATCTATCTGTCAGTAAAGTGCTGAACAGACCTCGTTTAAGAGAGGTAAAAACATTTTATTTGAAGCCTATTTATGGTAAGGTCATCTAGTCAAGTCTTCACATATAGTCTTCAGGTATACTAATTTTATCTTTTAATGCGAAATAGCTGGATCAAGCTCAAAACCAACCACCACTCAACTGTATAAGTCAAAGCAAGTTTCAAGATCAGAGAAGGGGGTATAAGTTCTTATTAATTTTTAATATTCATTCCAGATATTGGCTGAGGTATTCCATTACTGAGGTTTTAGAGAACCAAGGAAAAGAAAAATCGATAAGAGCACTGATGTAATGAAGATGGTCAAATACAAGCCATGTACCTCACTTCTCTTCCCTAGCCAATTATCTGGAAACTGCCTCTGGATAAAAGAATACCATCACTTGCTTGTCAACTGTGTATTACTTTCAATCTCTTTCCCAGATTTCTGTTGGCCAGCAACTTTTTTAAAAAAAAAAAAAAAAAAAAGTAGTTCTGGCAAGGAAAGGAAACAAAACAAAACAAAAAAAAGTTCAGCTTTTTAGTCTTACAATTAACCTTAGTCCAATATTACCTTCCCTCCCCTGAACATGAGTCACAAATAAACTAACATTTTTTTGCAAATAAGTATTAAAAGACATAATCTGCATGAAAAATACCATAATGTTATTTCAACGTATGCAAGTACTCAACTAATTCTCACCTTCCAAATAAACAAGAACTTGCAGTGAGTGGAAAACTAATCCCATCAGTCCCATTCCGCTTAATTACAACAATATTCCCAAAGAGCGGCATCTTCAAATGTAAGGAATCTTACCTATAAGAGAACATCAAAATTACTCATCCAAATAATGCTTTACATATTTATGAAAGTAAATCAATGTAATTATTTTTTTTTACTTCTGTTCAAGAGACATTTTCCAACGTACAGAAGGATCTCAGTGCCATTTACGTGTGCTTGCCTGTGTAGAAAACTGGGAACTATTTACCCCAAGCAACCACTGTAATCACACACGGGAAGCTGAAGGCACTACAGATTTGGAACAACTGATGCTTATACAGGGTGGCAAGAGCAGTCATCACGTGTTCATGTAAACTCAGCTATACTGCTTTGACGTATGCAATAGGGATTTGCTACCCATCAGAGCCTTCGCAAAGATTCAGGGCCAACACGCACTGTATTTCATCCCATAAGCAACTTAAAACTATTTTCATGTTAACAGTCGCTCCTCCTCACCCAAATCTAGATAGTACACGTTCTCCTATCTAGGTGGAAATTCTTAGGCTTGATTTTTAATGTAAACAGAGACCAATGGACTATAGCTGTTTCCCGAAACAAGATAAAACGGTGGCATTACCACGAAGGAGCACTCGCAGGAAGACAGCTGAAAAGAAGGCTGAAAGTTTAGGGGTTGCAAGGATCTCGTGGTAGGCTGCTGAAGCAACTGAGGGTGGCAAGGGCACCCGAGCGTGCACGTAGGGAGAAAGCAGAAGGAACGGCGTTTAACTTGCAAAAAAAACCCCAACCCCAGAGCGTTTGCACAACCAGATACGCTATTCCTTTTCTGTATAAATAGGAGTGTGCGACAGAGTACAAGCAACCCTCAAAACAGCAAATATAAACTGCGCTAACAAGTGTTATACGTTTTAAAGCGGCAAGCTAAAAACAAGGGATGTAATGTAGTTAAGGGGGACCCTTCTGAACTTCTTTTGCCGAGTTTCATACGATAAAATACTTGTTGAAAAAAACAAAACAAAACACGCCCTAGGACAAGCTTGACAGCACCCTTAAGAAAAGCCTTTACCTGTACGTTACAGGAAACGGCGGTCTTCAGCTTTCCTCACCCAAACTGCCCTGTTCGCAGTTTCCACCGACTCTTACAAGCAAAAAACGCCACACGAGCTGCAGAACCCGAAGTTTACGCCACCGTCAGGAGCCCAGGCTCTCTGCGGCCGCGCCTGCAAGCGGGGTGACCCACAGCCACCGGGGCGGCCAGGGCAGGTGCTTCCCGGCTCCCGCTGGCCGAGAAGCAGACGGCTACCGAGGGGAGCAACCCGGCCCAACTCCTCCCCGCGGCGCCCGGAGCCCCAAAACCGCGTCCGCCCGGCCCGATCCCCCCCTCTCACCCTTCCTCCCCAC